TTTGCTGTGCGTGTTTTCCGCTCGGGATTTCCCCCGTGCTGGGACTGTATCCGTGGCAAGGGCACTGGTGCCTGTGGGACAGCCTGAGCTCCTGGAAACAGCCCGAGTGTCACCAGCAGCCTCTGCTCGTCTCAAGTTTCTCTCTGTGTCTGCAGGTGCTGAGCCAGGATGGGCTTTGCCGAAGACAAAGTCTACAGCCACATCTTGAGAAACCTCAGGCATTTCAGCACGATCCGTGTGGCATCGCTGGCTGACTCCCTGACCTGCCTGACCGATGCTGACAGAGTAATTCCCTGCGTTCCCAAGACATGCCAGCCTCCTCCCCTGAGTTAAATTCACCCTCCCTCTCAGCCAGACCCTCTCTTAGACGCCCTGTGTGTTTTCCCTAGGATGAACTCCATGCCCGGGAGGAGACCAGGGGCAGCCAGGCGACTGTCTATAAGTTTTACCAGCACCTGAGGTGCCGCCAGGGCTGGGTGCTGGATCTCATCCATGCCCTGCGCCTGAACAACGCGGGAGAGCTGGCTGATGAGCTGCAGGATGTTTATGACACCTGGAGATCAGGTACGTAGTAGCCTCCTCGTCCTTGGGTGCTGCCCCACAGGTCTGCTGGAGGTGGGGACTCAAGCATGTTTCCTGGGATTCACCAAGCAGCTGGCTTTGGCTTCCCAGCAGACGGGGGTGTGTGACTGTCCCCAGGGATGCCATTTGCACTGGTGATGTGTCTGAGGATGATGGGATCTGTGTTTGAAGGTGCTTGGGGTGGTGGTGGACTGGGGCTCTCACCTGGGGGGGAGATGGAAAGATGATTGAAGAGCTTGGCTGATGTGGGGATAGAACAGGGGTATGTGCAGGGCTGCCTCAGCCCCACCTCATCCTCTGCCTGCTCAGTTTTTCCCACAGTTTCATAGAATCATAGAATGTTAAGGGGTTGGAATGGACCTTAGAGAGCATCTAGTCCCAACCCCCTGCCCTGGGCAGGGACATCTCCCACTTAGACCAGGTTGCTCAAGGCTTCATTCAGCCTGGTGTTGAACACTGCCAGGGTTGGAGCATCCACAGCCTCCCTGGGCAACCTGTGCCACTGTCTCACCACCCTCTCATGAAAAAATTTCTTCCTAATATCTTATCTAAGTTTCCTTCTTTCAGTTTATCCCCATTACACCTTGTCCTATCACTCCAGTTCCTAACAAAGAGTTCCGCTCTAGCTTCTCTGTAGCACATTCAGATTCTGGAAGGTTGCTCTGAGGTCTCCACACAACCTGCTCTCCAGGCTGGACCGCCCCAACTTTCTCATCCTGTTTTCCTTAAAAAACATGGAACACTTCACAAATTTGTGTGTCATGTCCCTGCTTATAATCCACTTGTCTCTTCCAGGTCCCTCAGCTGCCACCTCCCTTCCCAGGAATCCCCGTCCTGCTGCCTCCAGCAGTGCCCGGACACCATCCCCAGGGCCAAATCCTGCTCCGGGTGCTCCGTTGGCTGAGATGCCACGCCGAGACCTGCCTGTTGGTGTCCATCCACCTCATCTGCCTGGTGCTGCCACCACCACGAGCACAGACCTGGAGGCCAGGGCCCCGGTGCAGGAGTCGGTGAGTGGAGCACACATTGGACAGGGACACAGAGGTCCCTTTTGGACCTTTTGGTGAGGTGCGGGGGCCTGTGGTATGGACAGGCTTGTTCAGGGCCTCCCCAAACAGCTTCTTGCTGCTGTATCTGGTAACTTACAGCTTATATATGACCTGTAACTGCTCCCTTTCCACTGCCCTCTGTGGGGGAGTGCAGAGTCTGCTTTCCAAGTCTAGGCTTCGCATCACAGCTCCTGACCCTTGTGTGAGCTGTGGTGGGTGCCAAGGAGAGACCTCCTTCATCACCACGCTTGTGGGGGTCACTACTCAGGGTTTGGGGCACCCTGGCGGTCCCAGACTATGACAGTCTAACACCACTCATTTCTTTCCAGCTCCCCAAAAAACTCCTGGAGCCAGAGAGTCCCCAGCCTGGGAGCAGGGTCCGTGACAGAGCGAGCGATGGGCACGGGGGAGAGGAGCATCTCTCACACCCTGTGGAGGCTGTGCAGGTGCCAGTAGGGACCCCAGGGACATCCAGTGTGGCCATGCCATCAGCTGCTCCCCCAGAGCAGGGCCGGGACTGGCTGAGCCGCCGGCCAGTGTGCGTGGACAACGGATGTTTTGGGAATGCCAACCACTTGCACCGCGGCGCTCCGGGCCTGGGCCTGGGCAGGTCTCTTCCACAGAGGGATGCAGGAGTCAGTCCCAGCCCTGAGCAGCCCAGGAATGAGCCTGAGGAGAACTCCGATGTCTCCACGGAGTCACCCCCGAGGCTTGAGGAGGCCTCTCATGGTGGGGGGCTGCAGCCCCCAAAGTCACTGCCAAAAAAACAGTCTGTGCCCAGCTCCCAGCATAGAGAGTCCCTGGGCAGCTTTGTGGATGTGCACAGGCCCCTCCTCATACAGGAGCAATTTGATGCGGAGAAGAAGCTCGCTGGGATGCTGCAAGAGCATGGAGGGGATGGAGGTGGGTTTCCTTCCCAGCAGAAGCCACTAAGGAGCAGGACTGAAGGTGCTGCTGGATGCCCCTTACTGCAAAATAGAAATTGGGATGCTGGAGCATGTGCAGAGAAGGGAAATGAAGCTCAGGAAGAGTCTGGAGCACAAGTCTGATGAGGAGCTGGGAGGGCTCAGCCCTCTGAGGGACCTTGCTCTCTTGTAACTCCCTATCAGGAGGGTGGAGTCAGGTGGGGTCAGACTCTGCTCCTAGATGACAAGGGGAAACAGCCTAAAGTTGCATGAGGGGAGCTTTAGGTTGGATATTGAGAACATTTCTTCAAAGAAAGGGTTGTCCAGCCTTGGCACAGGCTACTCAGGGCAGTGGTGGAGTCACCATCCCTGGAGGGATTTAACAGCCATGTGCATGTGGCATGTGGGGACGTGGTTAGTGGTGGCCTTGGTAGTGTAGGGGTGGAACAGAACAGACTATTTCAGTTGGAAGGAGTCTACAACATTCATCCATCTCATCTGACTGCTTTATTTTGTCAGTGGAGCAGTTTTGGGGTGTGAAACATCCCTCCCCCCCTTAGTTTGCAGAGATATTTGTATCCTGCATCTGGGGGAATTTAGTATCGTCTGCATTCCTCGACTGTTTGGGCTCCATAGAATCAGGACAAAGCCCTGCCCTCCCCTCCAGGGTCCCAGGGAGGAGGGACCCCCATCCCTCACAGCCTCTTCCCATCTGCCATGTGGGGTCAGCACCTCCTGGCTGTGGGGACATGGAGCTCCACTGCCACAGGAGCCTTGAATGCCTCTGTTTCCTTCAGTTCTCCTGATCCTGCAGCCCACTCTGGGTGAGTTACCTGCAGCTACTGTGAGAGCTGGGATACCACAGCAGAGCCAGTGGCACTGGGTCCTGCTCCCCTGTGTGACCCCCTCAGCTTGGGGACTGTCCCATCACATTGTCCTTCAGGCAGAGCAAAACTCACCTTTTAGGCCTCCTGGTTAACACAATGTGCTTTGGTTTTTCCCCAACAGACACTTCAACAGAAACAACCACCTTGGTCACTACCCCTGTGCCCAGGGACACTTCTCTATCTCTTGACACCTCCATGAAATCTCCAGTACAAGAGAAGAAACTGTCCATTGGGAGTAGGACTGGCAGCACCCCCTCCATGCCTGCAAAGAAGGAAGTAGGTGACCTTTCCTCTTACCACTTGTATTTCATTCAAGTCCTTGTGAACTCCTCCTGTTTGGGAGACTTTCTGCTGCATTGTCACATTTTGAGCTGGTGACATACAGATGCAGCACTGTAAAGCATGGGAGAAGGGAGCCAAGTTCTGTCAGGCTTTGATTCCTTAATTTGCCAGTTAGTCTGCTGCCTTCCAGGTGCCTCTTTCCACCCCTCTCCTTGCTCCCTCCCTCCCTCCTTCCCTCCTTTACTTCTTTTGAATCCCAAAGGCTCCCTGGAGCCCCAACACCTCCCTGCTCTACTCACTATTCTGTCCCTGGGATTTACCTGTGACCCAACCTCATTAGTGGCAGGAGATGTGTGGGTTGAGCACTGAGGTGGATTTGTTGTGTGACATGTGTGCCCAAGATCAGGCCAGTGGGTACTTCGCATGGCACTCAGCCCCTCTCCTTGTCTCCAAAGGTGCTCCTGGCCTCGGTGGACCCTCTGCTGGGCACAGCTGTGGTAGGGAGCTCCGAAGGCACAGCTGGGAGATCAGCCTCCCAGATGAGCTCCACGAACATCAGGACACCTCACAGCGACGTGGGGATGGAAGTGGAGCTCAGCAAACCAGGTGCCCTTCTCTCCCTGGATGAGGGGAGCCCGGAGGTGCCTGGCAGATGCCTGAGCACTCAGGGGCCCAGCAACCCTCATTCCACAGTCTCCAGTAGCTTCAGCTTAAGTGGCGACCCCATCCTGATGAGCACAGATAGCTCCAGCTCAGGAGCAGCATTCCCCAGAGTGTCCTCGGGGTGTCCAGCTCCAGTGGCTCATCCAGCCCCCAGGGTAGAGAAGGCAGTTGGAGCAAGTAGAGACTCCTGTCCCACTCCAAGCTGGGACAGCACCTCCCTGGGCACCCATGAGGTCCACGTGGATCATTACCCCAGCACCCAACTCGGCTCCGGCAGTAACGGAGCCAGTGCCCTTGGAATCTCTCCGGATGGTGACACTGCAGCCATCCCGGCTCGGGCCAGAGACCCCGCAGGGGACAATAGTGGCCCAGCCCTGCCATACATCCTTCCAGCTGTGGGCTTTGCTGTCATTTCTGTGGTGGCTTTCCTGGCATACACCCGGCTCCAGAAGTAGCTCTGGGACGGATGGCATGCAGTAGCCATTGCGCAGCCAGGGAGATCCCTCTGGATCTTGGGTTTTGGCCAATGGATTTGAAGCCTGAAGAGCAGCAGGGGATGGTAGGGGTGTTGTTAAGTCTCTTTCTGGAGGGTTTTCCTGGAAGAGGCCTTGGGTATGTGATGCTGTTGGGTTTGGGGCTGTTCCCACCCATTTCCCAACCATCATCTTGGATGTAGCCTTCTCTTTTTACACTAGTGGAGAGAGTCTTGCTCCAGAGTGATCCCTTGAGTCAACAAAGTAAGTCCTCATGGCAGTTCTCCACATCTTCGTCCATTGGTCCCTGGGAAGCATGCTGTGGTATCCAAAGGGTGACCCCCACATCTCTTTGGGCAGTGCAGCCAGGAGAGGTGTACCAGATTTTCTTGGCTCTTCTCATCTTGGCTTGAAAACGTCCCTGAGGATCCATGCAGCAGCCTTCACTGGGGGTCTTCTCTTCAATTTTCCTTGCTTCTTGTCTCTGGCTCTACTGCAGGGACCTTTGATGGGCTCTGCTGCTCCTTCTGGGATCACTGCATGTGATACTGGCCCTGGGGATAAACATGAGGGTTAGGAAGGAGCCACATCTAACCAGCATTCTTGAGAATCACCCTCCTTTCACCCCCTCCAGGCAGGAAAGGGGGTTAGGATTTAAGAGGAATGTTTCCAGCAATGCCAATGTTAAGCAGACTTGGTCCCACACAGGGTTGTTGGGTGTCTTTGATCTCTAGGCTGGATTGTTGGAGCCTGGCTGGAAGGGTGGATGGAGTTCTTGCTCTTGCCCAAAGAGGGTCTTTGGGCAAGGACCTGGAGGGACAGGACAAGGGGGATTGGCTTCACACTGCCAGAGGGCAGGGTTAGATGGGATACTGTGAAGAGATTCTTGGCTGTGAGGGTGGTGAGGCACTGGCACAGGTTGTCCAGATAAAGTGTGGCTGCTCCATCCCTGGAAGTGTTCCAGGCCAGGTTGGATGGAGCTTGGAGCAAGCTAGAGCAAGATTCCTAATGCATGCTCTTGCTTTTCCCCTGCTTTACTGTGTCATAGAATCAGGGAATGGTTTGGGTTGGAAAAGACCTTAAAGATCATCTTGTTCCACGCCCCTGCCAAAGGCAGGGACACCTTTCACTAGATCAGGTTGCTCCAAGCCCCATCCAACCTGGTCTGGAACACTTCCAGGGATGGGGCAGCTACAGCTTCTCTGGGCAACCTCTGCCAGTGCCTCACTACCCTCACGGCCAAGAATTTCTTCCTAAGATTTAATCTAGCCTACATTCTTTTATTTTAAAGCCATTCCCCCTTGTCCTGTCACTCAATGCCTTTGTCCAAAGTCTCTCTTCCAGTTCTCTCGCAGCTCCTTTAAGTACTGGAAGGTACTAGAAGGTCTCCTAAGAGCCTTCTATTCTCCAGGCTGAACACCCCCAGCTCTCCCAGTCTGGCTTCAGAGCAGAGGTAGGTGATCCAGCACTTGGAGCATCTCCATGGCCTCCTCTGGACTCTCTCCAGCACCTCCACATCCTTCTGCTGTTGGTGTCCCAGAGCTGGAGGCAGCACTGCAGGTGAGGTCTCACCTGAGCAGAGCAGTGGGGGAGAATCCTTTCCTCATCCTGCCGTGCCT